TATATGTGTGTGTGTGTGTGACTGCAGGTATATGGACGGGGGTATTGTATGGCAATGCAATCAATATACTCAATTAAATACTGACGGCGTTGGGGCAAGAGTTGAGAGGTGATGGAGAGGCACTGATATTGCTATGAATCGACCGAATAGTGACTTCAATGAAACATCAAGAGACGTTTACATATTTATGGATTGTTTAAATACCTATCAATGACTTTCTGCTCTGTTGAAGGCTGGGCAACCGGGCGTTGTTGAGCTTGTTTGGAAGTGTATTGTTATCTATCGCTACGGCTGTTCGTCGAATTCCCACAAGCACCTTCTGGTGTGTGTGTGTGTTTAGTTCTACCACGCAGCTTGGTGTTTCCATTATTTCAATTTGCCAACCATTCCCCATTACCCCTCTTCTCGTCGAATCTATATATATACATGACAGCAAGCAGCTGATTGGTGGCTGTCGACGGATCTTCTGGGCGGCCTGTCCGAGCGATGGTTCTGGATTCTGTGCACTCTGGGGGTGCATCAACCCTTGTACTACGGTGTAAACAGTTTTTTCCTGCTGTGTACGCATAAGGTAGGTAGGACCCTGTACTTTAGTTTTTTTATAAGACAGGTGCACTCTGGGGGTGCATCAACCCTTGTACTACGGTGTAAACAGTTTTTTTCTGCTGTGTACGCAGAAGGCAGGTAGGACCCTGTACTTTTAATTTATTTATAAGACAGTATATGACACGACCCAAAAGAAAACTCGAAGCGAATGCATTCATCTATAGCAATTTTAAGTGTGTGGTGGTGTCTTGTGGTGGTATAGTTATGGTGTTGGGTTGATGCCATCGTCTGTGCATGGGATATGAAAGAGAATTAGAATACAACTCATTAAAATTAAACTTGGGATGAAGGGCTGGGCTTATCTTCTCGCTGCTGTTTGGATTCTGAGTTCTATCGTATGGTTTAAACATACTCTCATGATTGATCGGCGTCTGTGTATCTTTCTGCAGGGGTGGTTCAAGAAATATCAA